GAGAGAGAGAGGAAAAGTATAGATGGGAGAAGCCACCCGTGCGCAGTGGTTTTACGCGCTCGCATGGGTCGAAATTCATGTGGCGCAGGAACTGATATTTCCCAGAAAATGAATCACCCTTATACAAACGAACCGACACACCGCGGTAACAGCGGCACAATAGTCAGACAATAGCAAAAGCGCGGGTAGTTGCTGGTTGGTAGCTAGCGAAAGGGAGCAGAGAGGACGGAAGGGATGAAATAGCGGAGAGATGCGAGCGCTCGGGAGATGCGCACGACGAAGATGGGAGATTTCGTGGGTCGATTCTCTCCCTTTCTCGTCTCCCTCTTTCTCTTTCTCTCTCTGCGTGTACGAAACGTGTACAGGTGGCGAAGAGGACGATGACGACGCGGGGAAGGACGAGGAAGGATGGAGGGATGAAACTGCGCTCTCCAGACGGAAACAGGATGAAGGTGCGCCTTTCCGCGTACAAATCGCGCCGAGCCGCACAGCCAAACCTCCCTCCCTCCCTCCCTCCTCTTCCCCCTGCACAAATTAAATAACCCACATCCATTAAAGGCGTTGCCGTTACTCTTCCGGGTTCGTACCTGGTTACCGAGCACTTAATGTCTAATTAACCAAATTTAACCGTATTAAGCAAATCGCCTGACAAGAGCGAGCGAGTAAGCGCGCGCGCGCGCGCGCGAACAAACATCGCGCGGATCGATGATTTATTATTCGCCCACGCTCAAAAACCACTCATCATTCACGGCGCTATTCGCGTCTAAGCTGGAAAGCGTAGATTTCGTTCGGTAGAAAAGAGGATTAATCACTTTTGCCGATAACGAATCAAATTTACGCTGATGAATTCCAGATAAGTTTTACGCGTCGCGAAGATAATTTCCGCCATTCAATTTTTACGAAGATATTTTAGGCGACAGACTTCGTTTCATCGTCTTTAAAAATGTAAATACTATGAAAATAATCACAACGTGCTAGTTGACATTGAAAAAAATCTTATGAATCTTAATGTCCAATGTCTGCAAGTTATTTTTACGATTGTACTATTTAAGTCACTCGTTTCAAAACCATTTGGATGCGAGCACAGTTTTGAGAAGCTTATTAAAATCAATACTTCGCATCACTTTATATATTGCGTCCCATTCTTTAATAATATGAAAAGAAATATGACTTTACATTACTTTTACAATGAATAACTCACTTAATAGCGCAAAAATGATTAAATAAAAGAAAAATAATTAAATAAGAGATATAATAAATTAATAAATGTCGTTAATTGTTTAATATGTAACAATGTTAGCCTTTTTCGACGTAATATTTTCAATCATCAAACATCTATTTCCGAACAGATTCAACAAGCGAATCGCTGAAGCTGTTTTATACACGACCATTTTTACGCGCAATCAAATCATGTCGTTAAAAATGCATCTCTTCGCAAACACAACAGCGTAGTTATCCAAAATTATACTTTAAAATGCTTCACGAGTATTAATTTTAATACAATTATAAATAATACGTATTAAAAAATTATAATTTATCAAGGATCAAAATAAAATTATCTCTAACGTTTTGTAAATTTAAAATTGGAGCAAAAAATGCTATACTTCTCTTCTCCACTTATTTATAATGGAATCTTTTTTCTCAGCTATATATATTGCTTTCTTTTAGCAGTTTTAATAACGTAACTTTAATATCTAATATCGCATACTAACCGGCATAAATTATATGAGGGCTAAAAGAGAACTAAAAACTTCTATTAGCGTTGCATCTAAATTTTCAATAAATATCAATAAATATCGCACGCGCTTGAAGATATTCTCCGGTGTTTTTTACTTCATTTTAATATCTCACAACATCTTCCCAAGCTGTTATTTATTGTTTTACAAGCGTTCTAAGCCAAGACATTTGAATTACATGAATTTTCTTTAGATAAAAATAAGAAAAGCAAAACGGTAATGTACTCAAATTTCAGCGACACAATGAGTGATGATTTCTTTCACGGGCACCGCGCGTTATCACATGCACCTATACATACATACATTCAAATGACCGTTCCTTGGTGTTCATGAAATTTAAAATCTATCGATCCGCGTATAGCAACTAGATTCTCACGAGATTGCTCCTTTGAGGTCTGGTCAATCGCGGCACTCATAGTCCTGGTTTATCAAGCTGCCCTTCACTCTCTTGCAAGGCTTTCATGAAATTTAATAGGTTGTCCGATATACTCATCGCTTTTTCATGTCAAGTCGGTTCATAAGAAACAAAAGACGCTAACACATTTTTATACTAATACTCTATTACCTCTCGTACAATCTTTTACTGATTTTTCTTTTATTCATAAAATATAATGTTAATCACATAGTGTTGTCTGTCGAATATTAACATTTCCAAAAAAATATTTCCAATTTAATAAAAATTACAGCTTTCATTACGGCATATTTTTTATTCGATGTATCTCTCTCATATCGCATTTTTAAAATATTCTCTCATTTAAGCAGCTTATTTTAAAGGTAACATAATTTTTATCTTCGATATCTTGTTTCGACAGACAAATGAAACATTGCACCAGAATATTTCAGTCATATTCCAGTCATGTTACAAAATCTAATTTACGTGACTTCAAAAATAAGAGGTTCATATAGAGGATGATATTACGCATATCGCGATCGTATACGATCGTCCCTGAACGGGGAGCTATTTATGTATTATGCCCAGCATGCCATTCCCTGTGGATATGATACTACCTATCTCGCGTTGCGTCACCGTACCTAATAACCTCCTTTTCTTATTCGTTTCGTATAATAAAAGACGGCATTTTGCAGAGAGACGATGTCACTTCCGCTTTTACGTTCGCTCGAAGGCGAAACGCTTTACGGGAAGATTCAATAGATAGCCGGTCGATGGAGGATGTTGTAGAGATTGTTTCGCTGCGCGTGATCTATGGGAGCACCATGGCCCGGTCTACCCCATAGCCTTTTCCAAGTATCGAAGTGTCTGCGACAATTCTCCTGCTCGATCCGCCGTTCCTCCTGGAACGAGATTCAGGCACGGAATGATTTGTAATCTTAGATTAAGTTGAAGAATGAGAAAGAAAGATATTCTGGACAAACTTAACCGAACATAATCAAACAGCTGTAAAATATAATAAGTATCTCAAGTCTCGTTTTGTAAGATAACAAATCAAAAACGAATTTAAATACTAAATACAGATAAAAGATAAGTATTTTAAATATAATGCATAAAAGAATTTATAAACTGCTGCAAAATATTTATTTATGTCAATATTTTAAAAATGCTATTTTAAAATATGTCTTTTATTTTAGCTCTCAGAATTCTTCAACAATTATTAACCTACTTGGAATTAATATATTCTACCTTCGTTGCAGTATTCACATACATAGCAAAAATCTGAAGCTATTTTCCTTATTGCGATATTAGGAATCGTTTATCAATCTATCTCACATGAGATAAAATCGATCATATATATTGAAAGCAAAGTATTTTTAAATTGGTTTCAAATTTGACTTTATCTCCAGCCTGCTTCCAGAATTAGACGAGTTTTCTTATGGATCGCTTGATTTCATTATCCGCAACGTCGGTACGTGCGCGCGCAATCAATACGATTCAATATAACAGACGCCAATGAGATTGCCAACGAGATCGGTACAATTAATCCCGTTTCGAATTACCGTTTGACGTTGCACAGTCATCATCGATCATACATGGCACTTACCAACGCTCTATCCCGCTTACATCGTATTTGCTCGGCGAGATCCGCGATGTATTCTCGATTGCCGACGCCGAGTGCGTGAAGCCTATAAAAGAAAGGAAAAGACGTCCCATCACATTCAGCTTTCATATCCTTTCTTTGATGGGCACAGCACCCCCACGGAAATGAGAGGGGCATGTGCACCGAGGTGCACGGATTACGGGAAATAAAGGTTTAAGGTGAGTAGCCCTATCTAAGACGAGTCGCATTGGATTTCCTTGAGAGAACTATTTAATATCTTCGCATCCAAAACGTAAAAATGGAAAATACGAATGAGATTGATAGAAGGATCCGCGTGTGAGTGAGACAGATGAATGAGACAGATCTAATTAGAAATAAAATATTCGATTGAGCTGTATCTCTATGATAAATAAAAAGAAAAGATAACTGAAAATAATTTCAGCAAAATTACTTCAAAATAATTGCATAATTCATATAATAATAATTATAATATAATATGATATAATAAATATAATAATTCATATATGAATAAAAAAATTGTTAAATTAATATAAAAAAAATTAGATGGACTTTTTCTGTTTGCATCACCGTCCTGCTCGCGTAATTTTTTAAAAGAATTTCTTCCTTTTTGCGTTCAACTCTATTAAATTTTTCAAGGATATTTTTAAAAAATAGCATAAATAGTTATAAACGTACGGTGTCGTCCGAATTTGCACCGTCGTGAATCGTAAATATTGCAGGTGATCACGTCTAGCGAGTAGAGACGATGCATGATTGATTCATTTCGAAATCGCTAAATTAAACCAACTGGCACGGAAAAAAAAAAACTTTCCGTCCGAATAGCTCCAGTCATCGATATTTTCTCGCTGCTTTGAATAGTCTTTAACAACTTCGCGCTCATAACTCGCACGAATACCTCGCATAGCGCACTCGGGAACGCGCGCGAATCAATTGAACGCAATATCGATCCTCATGTGTCGTCCAAATTAAATACTTGTGCCCGCTGTACCGAGATGTCCTCGCGATTTTACCGTAAAAAAAAAAGACAAGTAAAATAAAAATACGGTAAAAAGCCCCCTTTTTTTAAATGAATAACGCCCCGGGCTTACGCCGCCGCGTTTTTTCTCCGGGTTATCGCCGTACGGTGACAGATAATCGAGGGTAATTAATTACTACAGACACTACGGCATTCGAATGTCGGCCGACTGTGTTACAAACAACGTGGCGCACCTCCGGTGGAACGCAACTTTCTCCCATACGCTATTCCATTAAACGTTATCAAAGTGTCTCGTTACATGTCAGGTCAGTGCTGCTTCTGTTCGCGTCCGGCGGTACGACCGTTTACACGCGGATTTATCGAACGATAAATCAGCATTATTCTATCGGATGCAATGCCAGAAAAGAGTTACGCTAATTACTCAATCAACTGAATAGAAAACTCTGATGATAATAATGAAAAATGCTTATATCTGTTCATTATAACATACATTTAGATAAGAATTGCGTAAAAGTATTATTTGCAATTTACAACAAGATTGTTTTAAAAAATGCCTATATCATAATATACGTTTGATTGCCAGCTAAAACAAAGTAAAAGAACTCTTCACATGATAGCAGCGTGAAAATATGTAAAAATTAATTTAAATATGTTAAAATGTTTAAAAATTCTTTAAAAATAAATGTTAAATATTTAAATAAAACGTTATAACATATGTCAAAATAAAGTTTTTCATAGCGTAACATAACTTTGCAAGAAACAAGAAATTCACATTTTGAGTTTTTTCCTCTCTCGGAAAATTTTAGAACAAGAATACATTTGTGCGAAATGCCGCTCTATGATGATATATTTATGCAGAAAGCTTAAGTAAAATCACCCAATTGAACATTCCTATAGAGAGAATCGGCTTCCTCTCCAAGAAATAAATTCTTTGTAGAAAAATATTCTTTTATGCAATGGCAATGGAAAATTATGCTGATGAATATTTGGAGCGACATTAGCGCAAGGGAGGAAAACGAGGATGAGATTGAACAGGAATAGGTGAAATGGCCGAGGTCGAGTGCATCCGGGTCAATTGGTTGATTACCTGTAATGTAGTTACATCCCTCGAGTGTCGTATCGCTACTAACCAATTCTAACGGTTGCCGCTATGTCTCTCGTCATGTTTATCATACTTATGAGGTACCGGTGAAAAATTAATTGTAACATACATGCAGCATTATGAGACCGAGAATTGACATTTACTGCTCGACAAAACGCGAACGTGCGACGTCATGCTGTCGCCGTTCTATTCGTCTTATTTTTCATTTTACATTTTATGCAAAGCTGCCCCGGTGACTTTCACGTCAAATTATTAAAATTAAAAAAGGAAGCACGTCAAGGATTAAAAAAGAGAAAGAGAGAATGAAAAGCCGAGAAGGAATACCGGGGAGAACGTTACGTAAGCATGAAAGTTGTGAAATATAAAGTAGAAAAGAGAAACCGGCATCAGGCATAATATACATGTTCAAAATATATATAATGATATACGATATTTTATTTAGATGCATTTAACTGCAGTTCTAACATACTACGCGTATATCTTTCCATCGATAAAATATCAAACGCTCTTTCGGCTAAATGTGTGATCAATAATGTTTTCATCAAGTAAATTGCAGAACGACAATAAGGGCTTTTAATATCAATTACAGTAATGAATAAATGTACGTGATTACCGCCAGTTATGTATGTATACCAGACGTGCTGCATATTGATTATTCTATCATCTCAACATCTATCATCTTCAACGTTTACGATTTCACATAACGCGATAACTGTAATTGGAGGGCATGTAGCATTAGGTCATGTATTAAAATAAAGGTACAAAAACAAGTTCACATTTAATTGATATACATGAAATTATATTTAAAGGACATAAATAAAGCGGGACTGACGATATCAAGATCTGGAATTCGTCATTTTCGTAAATTTAGAAGCTCGACTCGGAGATCGAATTCTTCTATATTCATCGGACGACAAATCGATCATTTCGGACAAACAAGCCAATATTCAAATAGTCCACCTCACCTCCCAGGTACTTACGATTCTATCGTGTATCCCGGACGAGTAGCATCTGTGGCAAGATAGCGCCTGCTCTGCGGATACGACTGATGGCGTCTACTGGTTAACAAAGGCACCAATTCGACACCACCCGTAAGCTCGTACACCTGAATCTCCTCCTTGTAGAGATTCCTCGGGTCCGGTTGTGTTTCCGAAGCGATACCTATCGGGGCAAAAGATCGACACGGAGATGAGATTCAAGCTCTGGTACCGACGAGAAGCAAGCGGCAACCTTTGCTATTTACCTGGCGTTGCTCTGTCATCGTAGAATTTATTCACGTCCACAACAGCCGGAAGGTCTGCACTTCTCTTGTTCAGTCTGTCGATCGTCGAGTTGCTCGTCCAACCCTGGTGAAACAAGTCGGAGCTTTTAACCAGGTAACATTCCTCTTTTTTCTTTATTGTTACGTTTAATCCCACTCGTCAATTGGATACTTTGACGTATTTACCGAACGTATTTATCTTCTAGCAACTATTTAAATAAGCTATTACTTTGTTCTTTTATTTAATTGATAATATTGTATATAATTATCTCACAAAAATTACATAACAAAAATTATATAATTATCTCACAATAAATTTCGTAATTCTGAATATTCATGTGGGAAGTGAATAAAGAGAGATTAATAATGTATATAATTTTATATAATGTAAAATTTCAACATAATATTTTTATAAAATAAAAAATTGTTCTTTTTTAGTAAAATATTATTTTGTTCTCCGTTATTTGCAACAATTTTTCTTTGAATTAAATTCTTTATTTTCATTTCTGATATTATCTATACTATAAAAATTTTCAGAATTTCGAAATGCTTGCTGAGATATGATTGATGCCGATATCTCCACACACAATGTGGCACACATCAGGATAAGAAAAACGTAATCAAAGCGTTCAGAAAGATCTTCAAACAAATCCACGGTCTCATAATCAGTAGTAGACTCGCGGTTTGATCCGACGCGAATCAAGTCGCGCGTTCATTCATCAATGTCGGTCTCGTTAGCCAGCTTGTTACAACGAAGCCCGTCGGCTTATTATGAGGGAAAAAAACCATGCTATAAATCCGCCCACCATAAATCCATATCTTCAGACAGGTACACGGTGACGAGACAGAAAGGGAGGTCGCACGCGCGTCGGGAAGAAGCTTCGAGATATATATATCTGATCGGCATAAGCATAATACGAAGAAGGCCCCCGCGTAATAAGAAGGCAACTTAGCCCGAAGTGGAACGCGCTGATAAATTTTCGTCTAAACTTTCCGGACGGTGCTTAGAGAGGCGCCTGGAGGATCGTTCAATTAGCCCGGTGACGCGCGGCGCAGTTATACTCACGTTCGAGAGACGGCGGAGCGATTAATTAAAAATTAAGAGTCGTATGCCCTTCATCTTCGCGGAGACACTCAGACGCGTGGATGCGTCAGAAACTGAAAGCCCGGGGGATCCCATCACGGGGAGAACAGTTTCCATTACGATCGAACGTTATCGCGAGCGCGACTAATCTGCGATAGCCTCTCCGTCTCGGGGCGCGTTCTCGAGGTGGCGGATTTATATCCGCGAAACGAATGAATTACCGTACGGCCGATTGCGTTTAATTGATAACGCCACGCTTTCGTATCAAGTGGCGGACGATTGTTACGTTCCGCGTAGATAAATCCACCGTTGCGAAAGTCATTGCAACCGCCGTCGATCGTTTTTTTTTGCCTCGTTTGCTCTCGCCGTGCGATTTTACACACGAGTTTACACAACCCCGGATCGATGGCGGTGTCATTACTAGGAAAACTTATAACACGCATTCCTGCAAATCGCCCCGCGGGATCGCATGAAACTTTAGATTTATGTTCCCCGCATTAATTTACGCAACTAGGAATTTCGCGTCTTCGCAATGCAGCCGCGAAGAGATATTCGAAATTATGTGTCATATCAGTTTCGGGCGCGCGAATGTCACCGCGTGCGCACTTTATCCCGGCTTCGACTAACTTGTTCGATGTACACGAATGTAATACGCGATTCTCATTTCCGTTCTGCATGCCAAGATAGTTAATTGAGCACATGTGAGCACGCGCGTAAGTTGTAAATTTACCAGCCTCGTCGTACGGGCGACGCCATTACACGAAGCCACTTCGTTTCGACGAAAACGGAATTACGGGAATTATACATGCGGAATCGAACGCCAATCTCCTTGTCGAACTTATATTTAAACGGAAATGTCAATGTCTGAAACCGACGCATATAATGTCGAGAGCATTCATCTGGAATGCTGTTTATTGCTAAATTACACGGGAAAATCGAGATCGCCGCTGCATCGGCGATTAGGATCGCCATTGATATTCCGTTTCTGTTCGAACGTGCGCGCGCGTGCTCGAATAATTGAAAGATAGGTCGTGACGTTTCTATGATTCCCTTCATCGGGAAAACGCAGAAAACGATAAAGTGATTTCCCGAGAATTTCACCCGCGAAAAATCTCATCCCGGCCGAGCTTCGCCGAGTCAGATTAGCCGCATTCGTCATGCGGTGTACAAATAAATACGTGACTCCTCTCCCCGTCGACCAGTTTATTGCATTTACCGGCAGCGCGGGCAGTAACAATAAAAAAAAAAGAAAAAAGAAAAAAGAAAAAGAGAGATTTCATGAATCGCGATTCGGCGAGGTGCTAGCGCAATTTAATTTCTTAGCAAAAACGCAACCTCCTCTACCCCTTCATTTTATGTATCTCTTTACATGGTAAATTACAATGCTGCATAACAAAAATGGCTGGCCGCGATTTACTTGCGTTCCACCTCGGGATTAATTGCGCAGCAATTCACCGTGTGAGGGAGTAGATAACTTCACCGTTTTTAACGAGGGCGCGTATCGAACAACAGATATCGCGCCTCGCTCTCTCACATAAATTTGTATCGCGTACTCGTTCATGTTCTCGTATTTCGCCTCCTCTCCCTCGTTCACTTCGTCCATCGAAGAGCACTTCACCTCTCCCGCGATTGATACTTTCATTTTTGATATAAAAAAAAAATCAAATAATCTTTCTGCCAAGGGAAATAATTTACCGATGCGTACGTGATCCAACGATGGAAACAGATCACGATCGAGCGAAGGAAATAATTAAAGAGTTTTGTACAACACCGCGCTAAGTTCTTGATTTAAGAAAACAGCAAATCCCTCTTTCGCAATCATAGAAGGAAATTACGTATACTCGACTGTACAATCTTAAAAATTAGCATATTTAAAGCAAATAACGATATATATTATCGAGTTGGGATAATTCGTTTAAAGAAGGAACGACTAATATTAAAATTATAATATTAAAATCATAAGCGAGTAAAAAAGTAAAGATTTAGACAAATTAAATTACAAAGTTTCACATATAAAGGGAAAAATTTCATTTTTCCGCTACCTTTTCAATTAACTTTTACAAAATCTTGATTTAAATAAATCTTGATAATAATGGATATATATTCACAAAATTTTTTTTAAAATAGAAAATCTAATTTGATCTACTTTTGACAGTAGAAATATTTTATTTTTTGACAAAAATTATATTGTTTTCATTTTATCTACAGAATATTCCATATAACCGTATTACAAATGTGACAATTTCATATGTCTACATCATCTTGATATTCGTTAAACATGTGTAGCTATGTAATCATATTATAAATGCATTAATATGTTGTTCTAGAAACCACAATAAGCAATTTTATTTCAGTGTAGAATAGAATTTTCTGTTATTCCGATCGCTTTTGAAAAATGTATCAAAATGGACTTATCTCTCTCCCGCAGCGAACCTTTCAATTACCACGACGTCTATAGTTTGCGACCCCTCGGGGCCAATGTTCGTCAATCTAACAGGGTTACTCTCGCACAGCGGTAGAAAGTTTTGATGCAAAGTTGCCAGTACAGGTTGACGCGGGATACTCCCATTCGCCGTGACAATGTAATTTCGTTATCGTTTCAATTGGTTTCTCAGCAGGAGGTTGTTGTTTAAACGTGCAATTACGTAGGAATCAATTCTCGAAAGTGCAGCGAAACTGTGCCCGCTCCCTTTCCTCTCTTCTCCGCCACGAAAATTTTATCGAAGGAGAAAATGATTTTGTGCTATTATTACAGAAACGTGTGCACAATGACATTACCAATATTCCATATATTTCCTGATATTTATTTTTAAATACCATGTCTGTATTTAAACAACAAACAAAAAATAAGGCAATTAAGAAAGAAACGTTCAAGATTTTAAATTATTTTTAAAAGAAGTTTTTTTTAAATAACGCTTGCGCTTTGCTCTTATTACGTTTGGCACTTACTTGTCTTATTCTTTGTTTGTTGTTTATATTAATATTAGAGCCTTATAATTTGTTTATGCCTGCATCTATTTTTTTCTATATTGATTATCCCGTTTCAAGACGTAATATTTATATAAAATGTTAATATTTTAGTACTTATATAAAATTTTGCTGATGTATATTTTTCAGGGATAAAATGATCAAGTTGCGTAAATAAAATGATTTTGTACGTAGAGGATCTTAACACGAGTGATACTTAAATTAACATAAATTAATAATTTTCGAAGCGCACCTCCAAGCGTCGCAAGCATATTCGGCACGTCGCGGGGTGGTGCGCTAATTGCATTATACGCCGCTAATTGCGTCGTAATATATTATGCACTGTCAACACTGAAACATATCCCCGTCACGGCGTATTATCACGTGTGTCCGTGATGAGATTTCTGTGTCTTATTGATCTGCCAATTGGGAAAGCATCTCGCGTGATATATAACCGTGTCCAATCTTCGACAATGATTTTCAATACGGCGCGTTTATCTGATTTCTATGCCATATAAGA